GTAAATTGAGTCCAACAGCAAACAACATAGATCCTGATCTGCCATAGCATTATGTTTGAGTCCAACAGCAACCAACATAGATCCTGATCTGCCATAGCATTATGTTTGAGTCCAACAGCAACCAACATAGATCCTGATCTGCCATAGCATTATGTTTGAGTCCAACAGCAACATACATAGATCCTGATCTGCCATAGCATAGTGTGCCTGCAGATCAGGGTTTGGGTTTGTTCTACTGATTACACCTTACAAATTGCACAGACCCAGATCTGCTGGTGCAATATGCAGTGGCAGATTTGGGTCCATGCAGTTTGCAGTTGGACCCATCTTAAAAGCTAGTACATACAGTAGCTTCCCCTATATATCATAGCTAGTGTATAAGAAAGCATGGGTAAGCATAAAACAGCATTCACTGTGGTAGAATATAAGGGTGATAGAGAAAGTGTACATTATTGTAATATAAATGTGTATTGTAGTAGAGTTGTAAAGAATGTCCTTATCAACTAACACTTATCCTTTCTTTAAGCCTTTCATAACATTTTGCTTGGTTGTACAATTTCTAATGAACAGATTTTATATCAGTGCAGGTGTAATGAACAATCAGTTTTCCTTCATATGGAATTTCTCTTTGCCTTGAATTTTCACTGATTAATTATCAGACTGATTGTGATATGAAGATGAATTCTCCTGACCTTTGACACTGTGCATTATAATTGGGTTCTTTTTTATATGAACAGTGGCTTGTACAGTAGGTACATCAGGGTTTTATCAGTTTCTAATTGAAAAGGATTTTCAAATTAACTGTTTGATTTATTTTCTCTTGTTCATTGTTACTGGTAGTGCCATTTTTTTTCCACAAAGATTTTCTTTAATATTTGTCATTATCATATAATTAATTATTGTTTGATACAGATAATTTTAATTCTGTTCCTTAAAGCTCAGTTTGCTGATACTGATTGATCTATTTATTTATATATTGATTTTATGTGCATAGATGAAATATAATAACCTGTTATAAAAAATAATAGATGTGCTAGTTTTGTGGTGTCTTAATTGAGGGGAGGGGGATAGTTGATATGACACCCTATCATCTGTTTTGTGTTTGGTATTAAATTGATCTGTAGATTATCATCTTTAATTGAAAACTTCCATGGAGTACTTACCAAATGATCTTTTTGATTTGTTATTGAAGCCAGCAGGGGAGGAAATTAAATCTCTGTAAATCCATGCTTGGAAATGCTGATTTTCTGTCATCTTGCATTTGTGAGAGTTACTTCTTGACAGTTGCATCTCTTTCCCTGCTGAAGGTAGGTTGTATTGAGTGTTTTTGTGAGTTTTAATGCATCATTGGCTGAGGAATGGGAACTATTTGTGGTTGTCGAAGGGACTGTCAAAGCAGTGTATCTGATCTAACCTGGGTGGGTATTCAACCTGCAACACTGGATTATGACTCCAAGGCTCTACCCACTGAGCTGACGTGACTTCCATGTATATTATATAGCATTTACTTTCCAGATTTCATTATTTGTCAGATTGTGTTTTTATGCTGTAACTTGATTCACTGTTTGACTAATTACGTTTGCATGTTATGTTTAAGATAATACTTGATGTTTTTTCCATGAAAAATTTAGATTTTCTGTCAGTTCTGTTAGTAAGTATTCATATACCAGTTTGGAATAAAGAAGAGATTTGGAAATGTTAAATGAAAGCCGATTACCTTGAGTAATACAGAGTGATAATAGTCTGATATATTTTATGTTAATGCAGTCTCTCCCTTGATTAGCTGTTGTAAGAGTAGCCATGTGCAGGAAACAAAAGTCTAATATATGATTTATATACAGATATTCTATCCTTATTTGAAGTAAAATTTTACTTTGAATAAAATAATAAAATATTCAGATTTGATACAATGATATATGGAGGGATAACAAAATTATGTGGTATATAGAACAAGTTGGTCAACAAATGCATTTATTTTTTTTAATGTTTTAAATGTGTAATCTAGTTTAATGAATTCAGATATATGAGGATATATGTGCTACCGAAGTCTTTGCAACTCACTAGTGTTAGAGTGGCTTTACACCTTTTATATATGACTCCTCAACTGGCCTGAATGGTTAGAGCATCTTCATCAATGGAGGACTCTCTCTCTCTGTTACTGATTATTGCCATCTCACCTCTGACTGTGTGGTTTCCAGTCATGGATTCCAACAATGTGGGTATGTGAGAATGCTTGCCAGTAGCTTATTGTATGTCAATGGTTCTTTCTGGGGTTTTCTGGGGTCCTTCATCATTAATACTGGCCACCATGTATAGCCTATCGTGTGCAGAAAAATAGTGTTAAAGCTTACAACAACAACCACCAGTGAAGTATAAAAATGGTGCAAGCAGCTGCGACACTTGGTGCTAAGCATTTAATATTAAGTTAATATTAGGACTGTTTAGCCTAGTGTCAGGATAATGTGTCTGGGTGGAACATGATGATATATGGTCTGCAGCATGATGCCCTTGAATAGTTGTTTAAAGCTACATTAAAAATCCAAATCTCTCTCTCTTTCTCTTTCTCTCTCTCTCTCTCTCTCTCTCTCTCTCTCTCTCTCTCTCTCTCTCTCTCTCTCTCTCTCTCTCTCTCTCTCTCTCTCTCACACACACACACACACACACACACACACACACACACACACACAGAGGAGTAGCATCTGAGCCAACTCCAAGATTGTGGCAAGGGTTGATACCCATTGTTTGGTAGGGAAAAAAAGAAAGACATTTTTGTTATTAGTTAAACTTAAAGAACTACCTAAATGTCTTCTATCTGCTATGTACAATATATATATATATATATATATATATATATATATATATATATATATATATATATATATATATATATATATATATATATATATATATATATATATATATATATTGTACATATACATACACACACTTCGGAGAAACTGAAAAGCTACACAAAAGGATAAACCTTCATAGATCTGATTGGATGAGAAAAAAGCTGTACAGAAGCCGGTGGAAGAACACTTCTCCTCCCCTGGCCACACTTTCATTTCAGTGATATAATACTTATCGATATTGCTAACAACCACAGCTGGAGTTCCGAAACCAGGAAGGAAAAGGAATCATACTGGATACGCTGCCTTAGAACATTGAAACTAATAGGTCTAAACCAAGAAGACTAGAAAATGAAAACTATGCACTAGTAGAATTTAACATCTTCTAAATCTTCTTATTATCCTTCAATTTTTACTATAAGAATAACCGGTATAGAATCAAATATCCAGGATATAATCTGCGTTACATAAATGTACAAAAAGTAAAAATAGATGTTGCTTTGGCCTGTAGACTTTTAGGGAATTATACACTGTTTTCAGTTTCCGCAACTAGTCTATACAAGCTGGTTGTATTTATAGTTTTAACACATGTGGAGACAGCCATGTAGAGGTTTACAAACACAATGTTTTTGTGTTTATTTGTTTGTCATATATATGTTTTGTATTTGCCTTTGAAAAAGACTTATTAAGAGTCAAAAGTGCTTAGGCTAGTTAGTTACTAGTTTCGTACTGTTCGTGGTCAGTTTATTGCAATATATATAAAACAGGCTGTGAAGAATCTGGCTTGCCACTAAATAATTAAGTGATTTGTAAGATCAAATTATCAAGCCTGGAACACATGCACAGTCATTTGTGAAAATATAAATATATATAAAATATCATCCTGCATTGAAAAATTCAAGTATGAAAATGATGTAAAATTACAGAAAAGCAGGTAGCATTTATTGTACTAGAACTTATCAGTTTTCTAAAGATTTCATCCATTTGAGACACTGATTATGAAAAGAAGAAATGCTAGGAGCCTGCCTTATAGCACTGGGAATGTTGTTCCATACCAGTGGACCAGTATATTAAAAAAATTTTTGAAACAATTTTTTCTTTGGCCTTGGTATAATTTAATTTCTGTTCTTATGGACCTTAAATTTGGATTTCCATTAGCATCTCTTTGGTGAAAGATATTGCTGAGATTTTAGGAATGGCTTTTCTGGATACTTTATATACATCAATTTGGCCATTCTAAGAAATATTCTTTCATGTATTGTTAAAACCTTTATATTTTTTAATGCATCATGGAAATTGTCTATACATTGATCTAGAATTCATTGGCAAACCCTCTTTTGGAGTCATACAAGTGTTATGTTTGAATTGGAAGTATTAGTTGATGTATGCATAGTGTCTTAATGTGGATCATTATTTGTTTGATGTGCAAATTGATGGCCTTTGCCAGTTATGAAATTCATAAAAAAAATGTATGCATCTTGAACATAATCATATTATTCATTGTGTTGCATGTCCTACATTTCATAATTCAACTTCATCATCAGCTATAGACCCTGGGTGGCCAAGTGGTCTAAGACCCCGGGTGGCCAAGTGGTCTTAGACCCCGGGTGGCCAAGTGGTCTAAGACCCTGGGTGGCCAAGTGGTCTTAGACCCCGGGTGGCCAAGTGGTCTTAGACCCCGAGTGGCCAAGTGGTCTAAGACCCTGGGTGGCCAAGTGGTCTAAGACCCTGGGTCTAAGGCACTCACTCTTACAGATTACTCACATGTCTTACCTCATTTATGCAGGCTTGAGTAGATTTTTGGACTCAACCAGTGTATTTATGTGCCATTAGCTTCCCATGGGTAGTTGGTTCTTCACAGAACCTTCCTCCATTAAATATACTAGTTGCCATTAATAGCCAATCAAATGCTAAAAAATGGCATTAAACCCTACAAAACCAAACCAATCATAATCGTCTAAATATGAGATGCTATAATATTTAGGAAGTTACTATAAATAAGGCTACTTTATGATTAGTCAAGATTAACCTTGTATGGAGCTGTTTTGGTGTGTCTGGGTGCATTACTTGTACATGACTTCAGTTGTAGAGATCTCAGGTTCAATCCTTAGTAGCAAGTATCATTTCTACCTGCATATCATATGACAGGTGCTCTTTAGTGGCCTAGTGGTTAGAGCATCTGCCTCAAATGCAGGAGGTCGTAGGTTTGAACCTCTGCCAAGTCATACCAAAGACATTTAAAAAAGGTGCTACCAGCTGCCTTGCTTGGCACTAAGCATTAAGAGGTCAGCCTGCTGTCAGTATATAATGACTGGGTGGGACATGGTGCTACATATCTGTGGCATGGTACCCCAGTGCTAGACACTACTATAAACTGTCACACATCAGACATCTTAGTGATATGACTGAAGAATTGTTAAAACTATGTTATAAATCCAGTACACACATGCACACACACACACACCCTTGTAAGTGGTGGTCCCATGGGGTTATGATTCCACATACTTGACGCCTAATCTTAGTGAGGTTCAATATAGAATGTCCAAGAAAAGGAAAAGTAGTGACATTTTTTGTATCAGGCTACTTACTGACCAACTCAAAACATTTTCGGTATAATAGCATCTATACTTGAATAAGGTGCAAGAGCTCTTTGGTACATTAGTAAAAGAATTAAGGTATCCTGTCACAACCAATAGATGCTTCCCAATTAGACAGATAGTGGATGTTCTTTTGCCCATTTTACCTGGAATATGGATAACTTGGTAGTTTCTCATACAGGTGACCAGTTATAGACCATTTTGAATAATGCAAACTGAGGCCAAATCAACTTGTGCATTACAAATGTAGATACTAACAGAAAGCATGATTTGTGTTCTGTTTATATGTGAGTATTGTAACAGTTTTTGTTGTTGTTGTTATTGTTGTGTTTAACGCCATTTTTCAGCACAGGATAGGCTATTCATGGCTAATGGTGGAGGAAGAAGCCGGGGAAATCACCGGAAAGAACCACCGACCCACGAGAAGCTACTGGCCTGCTTTCTCACATATCCACATTCCACGAATCCTAGACTGAACACACGCAGACAGAGGTGAGATGGCAGTGATCCGTAACGGACATCGCTTTAGACCACTCGGACATCGGACATCGCTTTAGACCACTCGCCACTCCTCGGGGGCCCCCAAAAGTTTTTGAGATTCAATGAATTTTTTTCAGGCTTCCTTGCACCATATAAAATCAACAGTAATTTACCATCATACCACAAATATGGTTGCTGCTGACCTTAGTCAGTCAGGATATATCTATACAATGTGCTTGTCTCATGGTTTCTAATGGGGGACTCTGGATAATCTTCAAGGATTAAAAATATTTTAGGGTTTCAGGGGCAAATTACATGACTCATTGTACAGACCACCTGCTGACCAGCCTATTTTCATGGAACCTTTTCTAGTCTAGTGGCATCTGTTGTTAACTTTAATGCAAGAGGTTCTTAGTTCAGTCCTAGGTAGAATGCGTGCTTTGTTGATCCTTACCAGTACATTTAGTCCTGTCAAAACTGAGAGTAAAATCTCCAGTCAAGATTCCATATCATCTGACTAAAATCTGTCATGATTGTGGGTAAAATCTTTAGTCCAATTCCCATAATATCTGACTAAAATCTGTTATGACTCAATAAAATCTCATCAATATCCCAAACCATGTGTCTAAAATCTGTCATGATAGTGCATAAAATCTTCATTTTACATCGGATGGGACTAAAATCTGTTATGACTCAGTAAAATCTCAACAAGATCCCATACTGTCTGATTAAAATATCATGATTGTGGATAAATCTTCAGTCCACATCCCATAACATCTGTCTAAAATCTGTTACAACTCTCAGCAAAATCTTGTCAGATCTCATACCATCTGACTAAAATCTGTCATGATTGTAGGTAAAATCTTCAGTCCACAGAATCCAAACCATCTGACTAAAAATCTGTTATAGGAGGATATCACTTCTGATTTTAGTTTATGGCCTGTGGGAGTGGCTACTACTGGAGTGCAGTGTGTGAAATTTATAGAAGCTGGATCATTCTAGGTATAAATATTTCTTTGTTTATTTGCCAAAAAGTGTGGTAATTATGATGACTCTAATGTCGAATTTAAAATTATTTATACATTCTAATATGGCATTGTGTTTTGTTTCATGCCAGGTATAGTGTTACATTATGTTTTAAACAATACTTGGGTATTAAGTTACTGTTGTGATTATTTCATACAGCAGGGGTCTTGTTCCTTGGAGTCCAATGAGTTCAATATGCAAATCCATTTTTATTTTATGAACTGTATTACATTTTTGAATAATTTGTTTATTATGTGCCTGTTTTGAAAAGTTGGAAATAAGCCATTTTCCTCTTGAGCTGTCTATTCAGTGTCAGAAGTTTTGTCTTTCTGTCTACTTTTTTATTGGCTGAGATATTTTCTGTTTGGAAAATATATTTTAATGAAACTTTTCTCCAGCATATACATTGTAAAACATGGTGAGTCTTATTTGAAATTTGATGCCCATTTTGATATTAGGTTAAAAGGTTAATGAACAAAGATGATATATGTAGGATAGTGTTGTGTCTGTGAAACATTTTAATATTTTCTTGAAAGTATACTAAGGTGTCAATCAAAATCACTTATGCACCCCAATCATATACCTGGAGTACTCAAAGATCAAGTTTTGTGTGTTTTGTGACTTTTTAACCTTGCAGATAATTTAATGAAACTTTACATATGGAGTACATCATAAAGTAAAAAGAATTATATGTAGTTCCAGTCACCCAACCTACCCATAGCTTTGAATGATGTAGAAAAGAAAAAAAATCTGTACCATCTGTGCTCAATTTTTCACCACCCAAATGGTTATTGTTGTTGTAGGGTTTAATACCATTTTTCAGCACAAGATAGGCTATACATGGCAGCCAGTATTGATATTAGAGGAAGAACCCTGGAAAACCCGGGAAGAACCACCTACCCACGATAAGCTACTGGCAGGCTTTCTCACTTACCCACGTTAGGATGGCAGTGAGTCAAAACGGCCAGCACTTTTAGACCACTCAGCCACTTGGGGCCCCACCCAAATGGTAACTTTAGATGGGATTTTTTTATAATGTATGCAAGAAAACAAAAAAATCTATTGTCTGCTCAGTTTTTCACCTTAAAAACTTTAGATTGTGTTGTGAACTAATATTAGATAAAACTGTTAAAAAGAAACCAATCATCTTATCCTTTTTTATTCCCCCAATTTGCAAACACACACAATTTCATGGGGCTTGGGGAGGGACTTATTGATTGTTATGTACCATATTCAGATATGTTTCTCAATCTCATAGCAAGGTCACTTGTGATACATGAGCAAATTTATAGGTAAGCTTGTAATTCTTAACAAATATTTTTAATAAAACATGCTCCCTCTAACTGCATACATTAAATAATATGTCACTATAGGATCAACAGTCACCTTCAGAGCAGGTGCATGTAGTTGGTATATACATGGATATAGGCAGGAAAACAGACTGAAAGACAGGCCTAATTATTCTATTTTGGCTGTCAGCACCAATTATTTGAACAAAATTCTATACATATGATGTCATTTGTTTCTGATACCCAAATGTGGTATTATGCGAAAGCAGTAGCTTTCAATTGACATTCCTATATTGAATAACCTACTCCTTTGTCAAGCCTAAAGAATAACTTGTCAAAATGTTCAAAGATCACTTTCATCTAAGCTTTTATGATAGCTAAAGTCTCCATATATTTAAAAAGTGATTATGAAGGCAATTTATAAAATTGTATTTATAGTCATATTTTCTTTCATAACAAAGCTACTTGACATTTCTGGATCAGCTTGAAGGAATTGATTCTGACTGAAATCTTGTTTGCAGGGGGTGGACCACTGTAATGCAGGTGATTTTCTTTGCTGTCATCTAACAGCTGTTATTACCCCCTGCAATCCCTATTAATAATAAAGGCATTTGACACCAGTAAAGACATTAATACAAAAAAATGGCTTCCTTAAAAATACCGTATTTACTGTAACTTTCTGTGGTAGTGGAGATAACATCAGCTCATTTGTACTTTAAAAGTGTTCTCTCCTGGAAGTACATTTGTATTTTTTTATACATATTTTCCAAAACTAAGATAATTCTTTGTTTAAAGTGAACAAGAGTGTTGAAATTTTGCATAGTTGATTTGCGCAAATCATAACAAAATTTATATCATTTATTAATATAAAAAACACAATCTAATGTAAGTGATTCACTTCTAAATCAGATAATAAGAAAAAAAATTTTTGGAAATCAATTTAAAAATTAAAAATTTATTTTAGTTAAATATTTTCATCATATAGTTATTAAAAGTGTGTTGTGAGGTTGTCAGACATTAAATTGTTGGTACTTATTGATAATGTATCAGCTAAAACATGCATTCTAAGGAATGTATCGTCATGACACATGATCTCAATTGCTCTGCCAATTACGAAGATGATAAACAACTACATCTTATCTTGATTCACTAGAAGTTATTTATCACACATTTTTGGAATCTTACAATGAGGAGGTCTATTCTGTTCTCAAAAATGCCAGAGAGGAAATATCCATTGTCTTTGATAATCCTGGAGAAATGTAGAAGTTATACTATCAATTAATTATTAATTTACTAACATTATGGTGGACTTGTTAATTGTTATTGTTATTATGACAATAAATAAAATTATAAGCCTCCATAAGATTAGGCACTAAGGAGTTATTGTATTACTATTATTGCTAATGTAAGTTATTCTCTCTAGGTCTTTGTGATTATAGATTTCTTTGTTGGCCCATATTTGCTTTTGTATAAATTGTGTGCAGGTGTGTGAATTGCTTGCACCCATATATGTTCTGTTCATTTTGCTAATGACGTTGTTTACATAACCTTGTAAATCCTGGAATTTGAATAGTTGCATGGAAATGTTTATCAATTCTTTTAATTTTGCCAAACATTCCTTGAACTTTCATGATGGAACACAGAAACTTAAAACTGAATTAAATATATGACTTTTTTAATTCAGAATTTTTTAGGTCTTCCTGGGGTTGTCCTCCCAAATATGGTGGCTGCCATATGTAAATATAGCTTATCATGTGCTTAAACATGATATTAAACACATAAAATGTATTCCACTCTGCAACCTGTTCACACAGTTGTGTCAAAGTGCAAATGCCAGTGTTTCA